AGAACGCGTACATAATGTATACAAATACCATATATATATATATACTGTATATCAGATATAGTTTAATATCATAAACCAGGACCACGGAAAGGGTGGGTTTATGGACACCCCCGACTATGTATTTTCCATCCAATAACCACCCCTTCCGTGGTCCTGGAATATATACATTTGATGATGTGTGTGTTTCGACCTAGGTTGGATGGAGCAGGTCAGCGACTGGGCGAGTCGCCTTTGGGGGTCGACTTTGAACGTGGCCCGCGCCTATTGCTCGGCGGTGTGCATCTTCCATCGGAGGGGCTTTCCGGAGCTGTGCCTGCGTGCCCTCGAAGAGCTGCGACAAAGGGGTCTGGAAGTGCCGCCCCTTGGGCCCGGATCCGGGCACGTGTCGGGGGAAAGCCTTGGACTGGTGGAAGTGGAGTGAACACCATTGGATGGAGGAAAATGGTCCTCCAAGGGGCTATGCCATCCATTTCCATGATTCCTGGCTGCTTGTGCCAAGTGGATAGGTCACATAAAGAACAATGGGAGGGTGGGTGATGTTGGGTGATCCAATGCAAAATCTTCAGTATGTGGATCTTCCGGGTCAATTTGAGGCACACCTGAGGCGAGGATGTGCTGAGAGGACCGAAGAAGAGGAGTGAAGTCTGCAGGTTCATACTCGGACTGGCATATTGACCGATCAGGCCAGGGGTGGTTTGAGGGGTCAGTGTAAGTATAGATGTTCTATTGAGGACCTCAACCACCTTCCAATAGGGATCAGTTTGAGGGGTCCTTCTGGAAGATGCTATTTGGAAGGTGGTTGAGGACCGTTGAGGACCCCTATTTTCGCCAAGGATCTGCATCTTGGCCCTTGCGGTGGATGTTTGTTTGCAAGATGGGCGCTACCTGCAAGCCAAAGAGCTTTATGTCGAGGCACGGAATGAAGATGGGAGGTCATTGGGAGGTCGACATGCAGTTTTCAGCATGAGAGTCGCCAAGGAAGAAAAAGACATGAGATCGAGGAATCCTCGGAATCCAGTCTTTTCCACCCCTTTTTCGAGGTTCTGCTGTTCTCCTTTGCTGTATTCATCATGTTTGCTTTTCTCGCGATGGTCGGGATCCAGGATCCAGCTTTCTCCAGCTGAAAAGGCCGCTGTTGGCCACTAGAGCTGTGGGGAAGACCATCATTTTTCGATATGTTTCGTCCCAATAGCGCCCAAGCCCAAGCAGTTCTGGACCCCATTGCAACACCAGTTTCATCCAAGTAAACCCGAAGTACCCGTTGCTGCTCCTGCTGTTGTCCATCAGTAATGGAGCCCAGCGGAGGCCCAGCAGAGCTTGAGCCAAAAGCTCGAAGCAAGAGCTGGCGATGCGTGGATGACTGGACTCTTGGGCGAAGAGAGGCGGAAGTTGGGTGGCACAGGTGTGAGCAGGTCGGCACATGACGTAAGGAGCATCAAGGAGCCAAGGACATCCAAGGATCTAATCAGTGTTTGGTTTGTTGTTGAAAGGTAGGCACATTTTTTGGCATGGCACGCTTTGATTTTCAATGTTCGAGATGTTTGCCAAGAGGCACTTGGTATCGGTATGAATTGTCAAATCAGAGGGGGTACTGAAACCACTCTATGCTGCCTATTCGGTGCCACGTCGTGATATGTCGTGATACTGAACATGCCTTTGTACCGAGGGGATGGCATCGAGAACACCAACGAGGAGCCTGACCTGTAAACAACATGTGCTTGTGTGACCCATTGTTTTGATGGTTCGTCCTCTGTGACCCCAAGGGTCGTAGATGATTTTCAATGTGTTACAAAGCGTTGAAACTCTTTTTTTGGCCACTCAATGCATCATGTCAGGATTATGATTTGGACGACGCGCACGACGTTCAGCAGGAAGATGAGCCTGCCGTCAAAGGTGTGCCGCAGGGTTGGCTGAAACCTGCAGCGGGCTCCAAGTGAAAAAATCAAGTCAACTTCGCACAAACATGAACCCGCCGTTGCTTCACATTGCTCCAATTCCATGCAGGTAGTTGCAAATGACGTCTCCTGGCGCCTGCGGCTGATAGGTCAAAACCTGCTATATTGGTATTCTTATGTGTTTTTACATATCAGCCATAGGCTCCAGGAGACGTTCATGCTAATGGGCTTGAAACCGCGCGTGTAGTGAAGCTGACTTTTCATACGGTCCTTTGGGGGGAATTACGTACGTGTGGACGACATGCGTACTTTGTGCTGCCGGCGTCATTAGTAACCCCTGCGTGTTTGGCTATTTTCAGGTGCGATCACACACACGCATTGGAAGATGGAAGATGGGAACACGCGGGGGTTTGGGGGGAGGGGGTCAGGGGTGAATTCCCCAAAGTGGCAGTGTTGCTATGACACTGGAGGTTGGTGGGTGGGTCGCTTGTGCACCGCGGAATTGTTTCGCTTGTGCACCGCGGATTTGTCTGGCTGATGCACCGCAAGCTTCCCCATATCAGGTGTATCGAGACAAATCCGCTGTGCGCAAGCGAGACACTTCGAGCACACAATGAAAAGCACAGATAAAGGGGAAGCGCACAATGAGCAGTCAAGGAACAATTTGAGAGAGCAATGGTCGACCTGCGAGAGCTTTCAAGAAGCCTGCTGTGATGAAAGACTTGTATGGCTTGTCACCCCACCAGGATGTAAGATGTGATGATGTGGCCATGGGCAAATCATTCCATTAGAGCCCCATGAACCCCACCCCCCCACCCCGCCAGGATGTAAGATGTGCTGATGTGGCCATGAGGCAGTCATTCCATTAGGTCACCACCAACCCCCCCCACCCCCCACCCCACCAGGATGTAAGATGTTCTGATGTGGCCATGGGCCAATCATTCCATTAGAGCCCCATGAACCCCACCCCGAAAGAAAAGAGGAAAGAAGATTTGTGTGAGGGGGAAAGGATGAAAAGGGGAGCCAGCCTCAGGTGAAAGACCTATGCAGACCTGCCTAGTTTGGAGTGTACGCGCTGTGTGTGCACCTAAGGTGGGGGCAGGTCCCAATGGACCTTGAACAAGCTTTGGTCGCTGCGACCACGTAAGGCTGCCTACTCAAGACTGCTGCGGTCACCTAATGGCTTGCCCGAAAGCGGCCTACTTGGTTTCAATAATTCATCCGGTCTTGGCAAGTAACTCTGGCGTAAGGCTCCTGCTGTCCGCTTCGGACACCTACGTTCCCAAGCCGGGGAACATGAAAAAAACCTTGCTCGACGGGTCAACAGGGGGCACTCCTCGGGCTCACCTGGGCTGGCATGAAGCCAGACACACTTGAGATTTCGTGTACGGAACTGATGCGGTTTGCCACGGTAAACATATTTCCTGAGTAAAACGGAAAAGGTAGGTTAGAGGCCATCGCTAGGAAGTTGGAGGCCATCCCTCAAGTTTGGAGGCCATCGCTAGTAGGTCTTGCGCACAAACACAAAGCTACACCAAGCAACAAGGTTGGAGGTCATCGCTAAAGGGTTGGAGGCCATAGCATCAGGTTGGGGGCCGGGGGCCAGCGCTACTAGTTCACAAGACACAAACTCAAAGCACAAATTCAAAACGCATCAAGCAACAAGGTTGGAGGTCATCATTAGTGCGTTAGAGGCCATGGCACCAGGTTGGAGGCCGGCATTAACAGCTGATCGACCATTCTTTTCAGGACCTGATTCATAAAGAGTTCACAAATTAAGTCATTAAGATTGAATATGTTTGAATCGATTGAAGGCCATGGCATGGGCGAAGTGATCCGGAGAGTGGATTGAACCCAGACACCCCTGATCACCCCTAAGCACTGCCGGCCCAGTGGACCCCTTTGAAAGACAATATGAAGGCTTCGGTGAAAGACCTGGGGTCGAACTGGGAAGGTCTTCCCTTTTCCAACCTGTTTGCCAGGGCTCCATGCGACAGCGAACGGGAAGGCGAACGCGGTGGAGGAGGAGACCTCGCTGCGCACCGATGGGATGCCCAGCTGGCTGAGCCCTCGTGAGGGCCACTGGATCGCGCTTTTGGCGTGCCATGTGCCATGGCACCCGACCGCGCGAGGTGGGTCTTGGAAAACCGCCAATTCCCCCCGAAACTGGACCAAGTGAAGTCTACAAGAAGTCTACGAAATCAACAACTAATGGGTGAAGTCTGATATTTGGACCGACTCCAGTGGTGTTTGAGATTTGGTTGCCAAACACGCCTTCAGGACCGACACCACAGATCCATCGTTGGGGCCCGGGGAGATCGGAGTTCCCGAAGCGTTCGGAAGGGAGAACCACCGAAGCCACGAGCGTTCGTTATGTGTTTCACTGAACTGAATGAAGCAGCCTATGGAGGACATGTCCGAGAAAAAAACTAAATGTTTCGCAAGTTCAGTTCAGTTGCTTAGTGGCTTAGTTTAAGTGCTTTAGACACTGTCGTCTCCAGCATTCCATGATTTCCGCTCTTCTTTGCCTTGCAAAGTGAACTTTGCACAAGGTCACAGTGCTCAATCACTTGGCGCCTTTGCCACCAAGTCATTGGATGGACACCTGGTTTTTCACCGTCGGACCTTGCAAACGCATGGAACGCCGCCGTGCAGCCCTGGGACTCAGTGCCCTGGACGTGCTCCGAGACGCACTTTCACTGGTGCAGACACTGGGAACGCAGCTCTGAAAAGATCCGTTTTGTTGCATGCTTCAACCCAAAGCTATATCCATGGTGAGATTGTTTGTTTCAGTATTTGTCAGTGGTGACAGTAGTCGAAGGATAAACAGTTGTTGAGGTTCTGGAAGTTCTTGAGAAGCATGCCCCACTTCCATGTTTTGTGGTCAGCTAGAATATGATGACTATGTCCAAACTCCCAGGGAAGAGGTATGGGACGTCCTAAGCTGGCAGGTTGAGTAGCTCATATTTTGGAACAGGGTGGGAACTCCACTTCCAGGATGTGAATCAGCTAGCAGGTGCTCAGGAGGAGAGGAGCCGGGGGTATCTGGGGGGTGTCCCATTACCTGTAACAGTCGGTAAACAATGATCGCTATTGTAAATAAACTTCTTGAAACAGATGCTGACCACCCCGCCCAGAAAGGGCAGTAGTGCCAAGTTCATGTCAGAAGACGATTTCCCAGTGCGACGGATAGACTTCGAACTAGACTGATTTTCTCATCGATTTCGGCCTTGAAAGGCCGCAATTTGAATCTCAGAGTTTTTGTTTGATCCAGGAAAGTGCTGCTTTTTTGAATTTTTCATCTCAAAATAGCCTAGCATGGCTATTTGCACCCTAGGTGCCTCCTTAGGAGGCTGGAGCGCATGCAGCAACCAGGTGCTCAATAGTACAACTCCGGCCTGGGCCTAGCGTGCTTGGAAAAAGTTTGAAGCTAGCTGTGCGATCCTTTGCTTGCATCTCGGTGCTTGTTTGCTTGTTTCCACGGGCCTGTTACCGGGTCGGGGTCTCTCCCCTTCTGACGGTAGGCCCGGTAGGCTTTGTGTGCTCCATTGGAGGTCCCCTCTGATGCGGGCTGTTCCGATAATGAAGATTTGTGAGAAGCTGTGTGAAAAGATTGAAGGCAGGAACCCGGTTTCTGCAAACGACGTTGTTCAGACTTGCCTTGCAGTTTGTTTTCTCAGTCAGCTTGACATGTTGCAGCGCCGGCCCCCTGACACATGTAGTAGTGTTGGTAGCCTTGCTTTGTGGCTTTCCCAGCACTTGCTTCTTTGTGTTGGCGAGGCGCTCTGTCAGAGGCGGCCTCAAATCGTTGTGGCTTGTGTGTTTAGCTTGTTGGACTATGTGCACTGCTTGGTTGTTTCCTGTGGACCGTAAGTGGAGGCGAAGGAGCGAAGCTATTGAGCCTCTGTGGGCGGCTCGTTGGTGCAGTCGAAGCTTGCTTTGGTTATCTGGCCATCGCGGTAAAAAGTGGCCCAGCAAAGCCTTCATGTTGCTGGCGCCGCACCACCGCTGGGCACTGTGTCGCAGTGAGCGGCCTAAAAGTTGGACCCCGCAACAGCTTCGGGCTGCTGTTGATGACCTGATTTTCCTTCAGTTGCTTGCCGTGACGTTGCGTCCGAATTCGGAGGCTTGGTTTGGCAGTGGTTGTTTGCATGGCTTGTACTGTTGGGCTTCTGTGCGTGCTTATTACGTTGGGATTGCAAGGACCAAGCGTGTCAATCAAAGACATGGTACTGGTATTGCGTCACGCTGGTTGAAACACATGGTGGCCTTAATCCGTGTCAGCGTTCCTGAGGGCGAGCGTTTGCGTTACAAAGTCATGAGGCGGGTTCGGCCAGATGAAGTGTTCTTCTTTGTGTGCTGTGCGGGGCCGGAAACCCGCATCCGTGCCATGGAAAGCTTGGAAATCGCCACCAGGCGGCCAAATACCAACGTAAGACTTCAAAGGGTCAAGCAGTCTTGTTCACTGACCTTGCCCAAACGCAGAGGCCGACCGCCAAAGCATGTGCGCATGATTGCTTGTAAGGGACTTGGTAGTGGCCCTTTTGATTCGCAAGTGGCATGTGATGTGCTTGATGCTGGTGCTAAGCGTGCTTTGTCTTCGCGGATTCCATGTGACCCACGCCCTTGTGTCTTCCGGGTTGGTTTTGCTTCTGCTTATCGGTTGGAACAGCGTCGGTTGTTGGCTACTACTGGTCAGTTTGGTCCTGTTCACATTTTCCATCCTGCCCTGACCTCCTTGATGTTGTCGTGGCTGTGTGCAAAGCATGTTGAAATCCCTTGGGAGCTTGTTGAGAAAGTTTGGAATGTTGGTTGTGCCCCTGCCGTGCTCCACCGCCTTGCTAGCCAAGTGCAAGGTAAGGGGAGAAAGGCAACTTTGACCCGGCGTATCAATGCCAGGTTAAAAGACTTGGGGCTCCCACTGGTTTGTGGTTGTACTTGCAAGGTTCCTCGTTCTACCATGTTGCCTGCTGTTCGTTTGGCGCTTCAAAAAGGTATTCTTGCTCATGACAGGTGGAATCACGATGAAAAGCAATGGGTGCTCAGCTGGTCGCGTCTCGGTTAAGAAAGCACAGGGACCAATGGAATGCTGTCCAAACCAGTAAAAATGTCCGGCTTGACCGTGTTGAAACTTCCGGTGATATCAGCAGTGTCTTGTCGCAGGTGCATGGCATGCGTCGTGTTGATAATGTTTGGGATGTGCCTGTCAGACCTGATCTTGAAGACGATTTAAGCTTCTGTCGCGCGTGCGTGCTGTTCTCTTGGTTTGAAGGGTCAAGGTCCTTGGCTGTGTCCTCTCTGCGTACTTGCTTGCTCGTGTCACCTCCGTTTCGGGCTGAGCGTGGTATGTTTGACAGTACCAGTACGGAATATCAAGCGTACACCTCTGACATGTCTCGCAGCAAGTACGAATGCATTGTCCATGATGACAAAAAGAAAATGTCCATGTGGAAGGTCCCTTGTATGTTTTATCAGCTTCTCTTGTTTCACTTTGCGTGTATTTCGTCCAGTTGGCAAGCAAACCAGTGGTGTCACAGTTGTTTGCAGATCTTGTTACCGCCCTCCCTGGAGAAATTCTTAGGGTTTCATGTGTTTGCCACCATCATGGTCGTTCCCTACTTTTATGGCACTATCAAGTCCAAGTGTTTTAGTCCCCTGGGACATACTTGTAAGAAGCTTGGACACAGTTGCTTGAGGAAGGTGGTGTCTTTTTCTGCATGGCCACTGAGGAAAAGGTGGCGTTTCCTTCACCGTGCCCTTGAAGCTGCTTGGTTTTTACGGGTATGGGTGATGAGGTCTGGTCACTGAAAGAAGTTTGCAGAACTTTTGACGAGAGAATGTCGCATGTGGTTGGCCACGCGTGTGTTTTTTGTGACCGGTGCAGTCAGCGCAAGCCTAGTCTTGTTCTTCTCACTGCTGACGCCGGCCAGTTCTTTGAAGTTGTCAAACCACATGTTGCGATTTCTGCGGCCCGTCGTGTTTTTGAGAGGTGTTCACGGGTGTCGGGTAAGAACTGTGTCACTGTCTTGCGGGGCGAACGTCGCGTGGCTTTCCTTGGTGGTAGCTGTGGCCGTAGGCTGGACAGGTTTGTTTTCTCTTTTTCCAAACTCCTCCTTGCTTTTGCTGCTTGTCTCTTGATGTCGTTTTGTACACTTGGTGACATGGTTTGGAGAATGACTGGCCTGCCTATTGGAGGCGTTGTGTCCAAAGTTGCTTCAAGTTTTGTACTTGCTGTTGAAGAACATGATTGGGCTTTGGACATCGCCCGTCGTCGCAGACATGGGTTTAGCCGTCGTGTCCACGCGTGGGATTTCGAAGTGGCCCGAGCAAGGTACGTTGATGACATCTTGTGGCTGTCCGGTCGCTATTGTCATGCTGGCTTGTGCCGTGCGGTGTCCCTGGCTTATTCCGTTCCGTTTGACATTGATGCTTGTGCTGCTTATGTGACTTGGTTGGACATGGAGTTGCACTTGCCTGATTTGTCTTGGCGTATGAAACCGTCCATGTGGACGCTCCCGCCCCCTTGGGGCGCCCCAAAAGGTTACGCGCATAGTTTCCTTTGCGGCCGTTTACAGAGGTGGTCGGAAGTTCGCCTCAGTGACGATGCATGGCTGACAGCTGCTACCAATTTGTTTCTCAGCTTTCGCGATGCTGGGTGGCCCGTGCGTGTCATCAGAGCTGCTGTTTTCAAAGCTGGGAGACTGACAAGGGTTAAAAGAGACATGTTGCTCACGGTGCTTCATGTCTCTTTTTTTACATTAATCCCTTTTCCTGCACATGGTTGCCCACGGCCGGCTCCCCTGTTGTTGTAGCCTGGTGCCTGCTGAGTTCTGGCTCTTTTGTGTTGGTGCTTTGGGGCAGCAACTTTAGCCATGACTAGGCGCCCGCTTTTCCTTTTGCTTTTCCTCCTCGCCTGCTCCCATGGCTTGTGTGGCAAACCTCAGCAGTGGGGTGGCAGCTACGGGAAAGGCAGTGCCTCAAGCAGCAGATGGGGCCGTTGGAACCAGCAAAAATCGCGGGGCAGCCGTGCTTACGGCGGACAAGACCGTGAGCTTGTAGTTCGAGTTGAAACCAGTGAGAAGGAGAAGAAAAGTCGGAAGCGAACAAGAGTCAAAACTAACTCTTGCGCGACAGTCTTTAGCGCAAACTCTGTCGATGTGTGTAACATGGTCAAGACATTGTAACTGACAACCGTTTTTGTGGAGGTGCTGCATCGATCGGGAAGGTCCTTGACGAGTATGTTGCCACTTGTGCTGCACAAGGCTTTAACTGGCAATATACATTGCCACAAGGTTTTAGCGGAAACCGGTCCAAAAAAGAGAAGAGACGCCACAAGTCTTCTTCGAGTGACTCTTCAGTGTCCAGTTCTTCTTCTTCGGAGAAGAAAAAGAAGAAAAAGGGTTCGAAAAAAAAACCAACAACAGTGCAGCTTTGTCAAATTCCGACATGGAAGAATTGATGGCTTTCAGGCGCCGTGCTGAGATTGAGAAGATCAGGGCTGAAGTGACAGCAAGCATTGGCATGGTTGAGCGCTCACCTAGCTCCCATGACAAAGGGCGTGCCAATCCCAAGCAAGTTTTCACACCGAAGACCAAAAAGCTGGTGGTAGCCCAAACCCGTGTCTTTGACAAGGACGGCCAAGTGCAATCGTTGGTGCCGGTGCCCGAGAGCTGGGAACAAGTTGCAGAGCAGCTGTCCGGGCACCCGCTCCCACTCGTAAAACAGTTGCTGCAGCAGATTAACCCCGACTCTACAGTGCCAAGAGGCAGGAATGAGGTCGTGAAGCTAGTCATGGCCGAATTGCAGAACCGTGAAGACTGAACAAGAGGGGCACTACTGCCGTGGGGGCTCGGCTGGCATCCAGCAATGGCTGTTTTGGCCGGAATTTTGGTTGGTGTTTTTCTCATGGCTTTTTTTCAGCAAAGGGCTGCGCCTGTTTGGGCGCCGTCAGGGCTCCAGCGGGCATGGAATTATGTGCTGGCTGTGAAGACACTAGCGTGTGTCTGCTGCAATCAAAGCTTTCACACAGATTCCTATCCTTGCAGTGTCTGGAGCCACAGGTGCGTACTTACTACGGTGCACTTTGTGCTGGAAAAAGACAGGGGCTATGAGAAATTTCTTGAAACAGATGCTGACCACCCCGCCCAGAAAGGGCAGTAGTGCCAAGTTCATGTCAGAAGACGATTTCCCAGTGCGACGGATAGACCTCGAACTAGACTGATTTTCTCATCGATTTCGGCCTTGAAAGGCCGCAATTTGAATCTCAGAGTTTTTGTTTGATCCAGGAAAGTGCTGCTTTTTTGAATTTTTCATCTCAAAATAGCCTAGCATGGCTATTTGCACCCTAGGTGCCTCCTTAGGAGGCTGGAGCGCATGCAGCAACCAGGTGCTCAATAGTACAACTCCGGCCTGGGCCTAGCGTGCTTGGAAAAAGTTTGAAGCTAGCTGTGCGATCCTTTGCTTGCATCTCGGTGCTTGTTTGCTTATTGTAAATAAAGGCCTTTCCCAACCATCATCATCCACTGCTACAGGGATTAGGGTATACGGTATACCCAAGCGACCCAAGAGGAGTATCCATATTCCCCATGAAAGAGGGCGCCAAGGAGCTACAGGAGTTCCCCAACCCCCTTGCTAGTCAGTCGGAGAGTCGACCATTGTTGGATGTGGACCATGGCTGTGATTCCCCGGCCTCCTGCGGTCGAGGAGCGTGAGCAGCGTCATGAAGTCGAAGAACCCCTCCTTGTTGCTGGGAGACGCCGAGGGACTAGGCAGGAGTCTTAGACTTTATGGCGTACAGTTGAAGCATTTGGATGATGGTGCTAGTAATGATGGTGGTGATGAGGTGGTTGAGAAGGAGGAGGTTAGGATTGGTGAAACCACTTCATCCTAGTAGCGTAACAGTTCTATACTGTACCTTCTTTATCGTTCTTTTGCAGCTTATTTTGGTTCAACTGCAGGCCTACGAAGTTTTCCAGAAGGATTGCGGGTTTGTTTGGCTAGCTTATGTAGCTTGATAGAATCACCTGCTAGAACCTGGCTGGAACAAGGGGCCAATCCTTCCAATCCTCCTTTTACCCGACTAGTTATGTTTGGTTAGCGCGGTTGAATCGCTGCCAACACACTCAGACCCCAAGGACGCTCCGCGGTCTCGTTTCGCTCGGCGGTCTCCCCAGGGCGAAGGCACCGCTTTGCTCTGAGATGTTTGATGTGCCCTGCAGCTCGTTTGGTGCACCTGGACCCCGGCACTGAGGAGTGGGATTCGTGTGGGATTCGAGCAGTAGAACCAACTGCTGATGTCAGTGGAAAGGATTCCACTACTTACTGCTCAGCTGGCAGAACTGCCTTGGAGATAGATCATGTTCCGGGCAGTTGCTGAGATTCCCAAACTTGTAGGGTGAGTGGATGTGGTGAGACTTTGCGCCCATAATATGCGCCCTTCCTGCCTTGGCAGGATCCAATGATTGGGTGGACGTCAATAGTGAGGTGACTGTTTGACACATTTGATCGGGGGTGATGAGAAACACCAACAGTGCTATGGGTTTGCCCTGGTGGGCGAGAATAGACTCAAACTCTCCAAGATGGGGAGTTCATCTCAGCATGAGGTATTGGAATTGATCTGTATACAGCCATGTCGAGGTCATTTGTTTGGATTTGTTGGCCATGTATCTCCGCCAAATATACCAACCCGTGTCAACCCCTAAACCTGGGATCTCCACAGCAGCGCGAGCCGCTGCGGGATCGACCGCGCGTAGGGTCGCCAAGACGGCCACAACTCGTGGTCGCTCCGAAACTTCCCCTGCTCCGGGGCTTTGAGATTGAACAGCCGTGACCGGCAGCATACCACGCGCGCCGTGACCGGGTGCCATGGGTTTGCGCCCATTTCGCCCGTTTTCGCGTCAGAGGAGGCCCAGGAGCTCCGGAGGCTCATCGTGCAGGAGGGGTTCGACTCCATGGACTTGGCCCGAGGGCTCGAGAGCGGGTCCGGGACTCCCGAGAGCGAGTCCGAGCGGGCTCTTCCGGCCATTGGAGCGCAGGATATGGTGGATGTGAGGCGGGGAGAGGAAGGGAGAGGAAGGGAGGAGGTGGATACGGAAAGAAATTCACTGATGTTCATGCACCATGGCAATTTGGCAATTGATGTGGATGACAAATGATGACACGTGCAGGACTGTGTCCAGGAAAGAGTGGTTGGCCTTCGTCAGGTTATGCTTGTCATCAGGCAGTGGGTGGAAGTTGCATCTAGAATGTAGCTACCCTTTGCCTCACCACCACGTGGTTTGGTTGAAAGCCCGCCGGTTTGGTATTCAGAGAATTGGTCTCAGAAAAGAGGCCATGCATCACCAGGCAAAAATAAAACCATGTGTCCACTTCCATTGGAACATGCCGAATGATGTATATAACCTTCCAGATGAAAGGCCATGCATCATGTCGTTTTTCCATCATCACTCAGTTCGTGGCTTTGATTTCCCCCCCTCACCATGTGATTGAAAAATCACCAAAACCCCCGAAATGGTGTGTTTTCGGTGTGTGTTTCTAGTGTTTCTTGTGTGGAAGGAGCAACCTCACCTCGCTGCTGCGACGATCGGATGCCTCTGACGGGCGGCCCTTGGCGCGGGAGGAGCTCGACGATCAGATGCGGAACATGGGACGGCGCAAGGTGAAGCGCCCTGGGATGGTTTTGCACCTGGGCACAGGATGGTAAGGGGAAAGCCAATCTGGATGAGTGGAGCAAAACCTGAAGTATGGGAAGTATGGTGGTCATGTATGACAAGTAGTTTGTTTTTTCCGAGTGAGTATGAGAAGTGCGAACAGAATTGAAGCTCTTATTTGGTTGGGTCATTTGTTCAGGCAAACCTTCTACATGGCAAGCAGGCTTTCAGAAGATGGAGTTGCTGCATTGCGACTGAAGGGCGGGAGCGGCGAAGAGGATCCGACGCGAAGAGAACAGGTCTTCACACGCAGCACTCAGCACCTCGCACCGGATACCGACAGCTGCGCTGCGGCCATCGAAGGGCTTTTTGCCTGTGGAGCTCAGGATGCGGCTGAGTTGAATCTTGTCAGATCACACTCAGACTTGGAGATCCTCCCCTAAGCCAATGGTTGGCACCCAAAAAGTGACCACTCGCACTAGCAGTATCATTGTTGCTAAGTTCTTGATCCAGTGAAACTTGCTCAAGGGTAGCACGGAAGAATTTCATTGATTAGATTGGACACCTGTGGTGCACAACCGAGGATCTATCGCAAGTGCCGGGCAGCATTCTTACCCAATCCTGCCCTCTACGCCGCCGTGATTTTTGGGCGCTTGGGATGTGGTGATGGTCAAGGGGCTACCGATGCTATGCTTGATATGCATGCAGCTGGTTTTACACCCCATCAGCGCTTCATTTCCCGGTGCTTACGGTACATGGGACCATTTCACCAGCATGGACCGCTGGCTTTGGATGGCAGAGCTTTTCTTTTTCTGTTCTTGCAGGTATGACATTTGTTGAAAGGCTGTGGTTGGCAATCATTATATGCGGCCTTTTCCCGTAAAGAACGACCACCTTTGCAGGTCAACCATTTGATGCTTTTTCTGAGCCAGCCCTAGAAGCTAAGAAGCTAATGACTGTGATCATGCGTGTGTGAAGCACGTGACTATTTTTGATCATTCAGCCAGGTGTGTGAACTTTTTGTGTCCTAGTAGGGTTTGTCATTCTGGTTTCTCACAGACACTGGGATGTATTTTTCGACCTGGGACGTCCATTACTCTGGAGTCACCATGAGTCACCGAACGCTTCTACAGCAGCATGCTGTGGTTCCTGTGCGGCGAAGTGCGATTCTGTGTGTTTGATCCGTTGGGTTTTGTGTGTTTGGGACCTCTCCACCCGTAGGTAGCCATGGCCTCCACCCTAATGGCGATGGCCTCCACCCCTCCAACCTACTAGCGATGGCCTCCACCGTATTCTGAACTGTGAGGCTTGCTTTTGGTGGAGCGCTTAGGCTTGCCGACGATGTGGCAGAGGTGGGGGGTTGAGACGTTTGACTTAAGGGGCAGGCTAGGGCGGCGCGACAGGACTTCGTGTCAGGTAGTGGAGATGGAATGTGGAGGCCAAAAGGCTTAAAACATCTTAAAACATTCAAAGCTAAACTGTCCTTTTGCTCTCCTGATTTGGCATCCTGGGTCACAACCAGGAAGCCTTGATTGAGCGGAAGGTCAAGTTGTATTAGATGGTGACCGTATGGTGACCCAGGGCTCCAGGTTTTGACCACATTTCAGCGACTCTTCCTTTGCCGGAATACTTGGGCGGGTGTTGGCCAAACCTGTGTGAGGTTGCTTCACATCTTGATTGAGTCCTGTCACATGGCAGCTGACCCTGCCAGCGCTGCCTTGGAGGTTTACCGCTTCCTTTGTGAGAAGCAGCCACTTTGTTTGCAACCTGCGCAGGTTTGCTCGCGCTAATGATTTGGTTCCTGGATTTTTAGGGAAACTTAAGGTTGGAGGCCATCAATCATCGATTCGTCACCTGGCTAGACGACCCTGCACTAGACATGCACCACCAGACACCCAGACAGGAGGATCCTGGTACATTCCTGGGTTATGTTTCTTGAAGCACCTGGGTAGACCATGACCAAATGAACCCTGGCTCCCCTGGCTCCGGAAAACAGCGCACACGATGGGGCATTGGGCAGCGTTCCGGTTTCTGGAAAAGGCACCACTCGGCCATTTGGTGCTTCACCGGCTGGATCCCTTCATCCATGGGTTTCTCCTTTGGGCATGCAACCCCAACCATAGTGACCTCTCTCTCTCTCTTTCTGAAGAACTCTTCGATACATTTGATGTTCTAGGGACTTTGTCACATGAGCGGTTTGGGGACATTTGGCGGACATTCAAAAGAATGATGTCCGTTTTGATCAACTGTTATATATATATACAGTATATACAATATAATTGCCCACTTGATCTTCGGTCCATCAACCCCCCCAGGTTGGCACCGGATTGGGAGACCACCTTTGCCATGCTGAAGGCCTTGTGTGGGTCGCCTAGCTAGCCATTGTCCGTTCGGGAGGTGGCCAGATGAATCCAGGAAATAGAGGCCAGGTGTATCAATTCTTCTCACTAGGTGTGTTGCATTACCAGCAACAATCGGTATGTGATCACTGGCAATGGGACAAAAAACACAGTGTGTGTGTGTGTGTGTCCATGTGTGTCCCTATGTGTCCCATGACCTGTAACTGTCAATCATTGAGAATGACCTTTACTCACCATAATCATCCACTATTACTGGTAAACCCGACGGGAAACCGATATAGATATAACTTTAACCAAGATATACCCAACGTCTCAGCGTGTAGCCAGGTGAATCCCCAGACCTTGCTGGTCGAATGTGATGTCAGCCCGACCCAGCTGACCGGCTCAGCCTGCAGCCCTTCATGTGGACCAAAGATGGTATCTATGAAGTCTCTTTAGACAGGCATTCGGGTCAAATGAGAGTAACAATAGTAAAAGGGACCCAAACAACTTTTCTTCTGAGCCACCCGAAACACATGAGGGGACTACTTACGTTACGATCTTGGAGGCGACCCTGGGCCCCGAAAATGGACCGAGGTCCCGGTTCCGATACGGGTGCGGTCCGAACCTTTCCGGAGTGAGGTTACCAACTGTCAAGGAAGCGATCCAAGAATTGGAGCGCTATGCAGAGCTTTGGCCAAAACCGCAGACGTTTCTGGGGTTCAAGACCGACGAGCAAAGCACCACTTGAAGTTGAGCAAAGCGTCACTCAAGCTTTCGAAAGGCGCGTTGTCAGGGGTCTACACAAAAGCGCAAAAAGGCAAAGTACTTCCAACTATACGAAAACCAAAATATCCCAAATTAACAACCAAAATGTCTGACAGATGAGCCTTTTCTGGGTCGATCGAAAGTGCCCTCCTTCTTGGAAAAAGAACTGCGGCGAAGTTCTGCGACCTGTCGAAGTGTCGAGGATCAAGAAGTGCTCCCTCGACACTGCGGCTTTGAGATGCTCTTGCGCGAATGCTTTGGCCTAGCAGCTCGGCTTCTTGCGAACACACGAATAGAGAAATTTGAGAGGCTGTATTTTTTGATTTGAATGTTGATATGGATATGGATGGATGGATATGGATTAGTTTTGGGGGGGCATGTGTTGTTGAACTCCTCTTCCACGTTGCTGACCACTACTCAACCCATGCCGATCATTACCTTCCGATTACGGGAGCCCATTTGGATGGAACGCCGTGTTTCACGTATGTTCACATTGGGCACATCCATTCACACTCCGGCATTTAATTGATGTTTGTCGTGCCCACTTTGTTATCTCTTTCTTGGTCTCTACCTCCTTTCGCCTGTCTTTGGCCCCTGCTTTGCTTCCATCCCTTTCATTCACTCGACACTACCTGGTACTGTAGCCAGGCGCGGGAGCCCAGGTGGTCGGTAGCAAAACGAAGATACAATTGACTAATACATGTGTAGTATACACATGATCAGCTTCGTTTTTTTGCCTTTTGGTGAATCAAGGCCGACCAGCTGCCAGTAAAAGGTGCACCCTTGTTGCCAGCTCCCCTCAAAAACACGCAACAAACAAAACAAAAAGTCAACAAATTGAGAGAGAGATGCTTGAAGGGGAGCCATTTGTTTCCTGTGTTCGGGATCACTTTGAGCAATTACTGTGTTGGTTCGAGGGAGTGCACACTGCGTCGAGGATGCGTTGTTTGGGATCGATTGATGTGCCGACCTTAGACCACCGCTGCTTTGCCAGTACCGGCCATACCTATGCTCCCCCCGAACCAACCTCTACCAGCACCTTTGGACAGGTCTCCTTAGGGTTCCTTGGACCCTTTAATTAGGTCTCCAGGGGTGACTGGCCGTAGCTTCTGGTGCTTTGGCCGCTTCGAACCCAGGCCAATAGCCGCCACCGAGCCCTATTGATTATGGACAGCCGACGTTCCTGGGTCGAGGAGGTGGCAGCAACTGTGAGCTTTGGAAGCTATGAATTGTGCCTTGCATCGTATCAAGTCGTCCCCACCAGACGACACACGTCAAAAAGAAATGCGGTATTTCAATATGTATTCCCGGATGTTTGTTCAAAAAAAAACGTGGGTAAACCATGGTAAATCCATAAACCATGAAATAGGCGTGAAGTATCGAAGACGTAGTGTTTGCTGAGCAACTTATGTCTTGGGAAGATCTGGGTATTGGGATTAGTGAGTGATTTGTTTTTGGAGACTTGTTTGAATAGGTTGGAGGCCAGAGGCTACTAGGGTGGAGTTGGAAAACCCTTAAATCTGCATCTCACAGCTTCTCCAGTAAACTCCTGAGGGCCACTTCATGGTTTGTGGACTACCACTTTTGTCTTTCGTATGAAAGACAACAGATATTGTCTCACAGGGGTTCCACACACCAATGGACGCAGGGAGTCTAGACAGTATTAGAGGTAAGATTGGTAGAGATGTTTTCTCGACAGTCTTTCATGCCTTGGGATTATCTCAAAGCTGTTTGCTTTCATTTGCAGCACTGCTCAGCAAATGTTCCCTGACAGTCACTCGTTTTCGCGCATCAGGACGCACATGACGGCCATGGGTCGCGAGTTACGACGCCACGTGGAGGAAGATGAAGGGTACCATGAGCAGGCCGCAGCGGAGTCGGTTGGGGGAAGGAGGCGGGTTGGACAGCGGGATGTTGCTCAGAGCGCCCTGCCTCCGCTCAGCTCGTGTTGTCATCCTTTTCACAGAGCTTTTTCCTGGTAATTACTATTTGCAGAAGATTAAAACCCTCAAGTTGTACTCAGCCAGTTCCTTTCCACAGCAAAAGGTTGGCATGTTCTTGCGGGAAAGATGTGAAAGCGGTTTTAGGATGCCTTCCCAGGGTCTCTCTTCCACCGCGTTGACCAAGGAGCTTGATAAGACATTGTTTCAAAACAAACCAGGCCATACGGCGTACAACAAATGCCTGCTCAAATGTCCAATGTAGACTGTCGATGAATAGCACCTCTCATATGAAGATGCAAAACCGGTCAACAGCGAATTTCTTTGGAGGTTCCCGTTGAAACAGAAGTGCGTTAAAGAGGGTAACCCCAAACACCAAATGCTGCAGTGTTGTTTCAAGCCAAGCTGCATGCAGAACACCACAAACAGATCCAGCAATTTCCCACAAAAGCAAAAACATGCCATGCCAACGATGTGCAACATGTATGCAACGCCGGATGTCACTGGGATTGCTCTTGAAAGCGCGTGCGCGCTTTCATGTGAGGGGAAAAGCATTGTTGACATGCGGAGCTGATTTTGAGAGTTCTTGTAGTCCCCAATGAGATGGAAGCGTGTCAAGATGATTCAAGACATGCATGACTCGGGGTAATTGTGCATTGATGTTTACATATATTTGCGTACTTGCTAATTTGTTACAAGAGCTGTTTGATGGGCATATACATATCTACATGATACATGATGTCAGATGGCACATTCCCAAAGAAGCTCGGTTTGTCACACATGGTGCTCACTGGGCACACAGGCGGTGTTGAGTCAGACATCATCAGACATCATTTTGTCGTGCAAATCCCACCCGTGCGTGGGTCTATACTCCCTGGAACTAACAATCATGGAAGTGGCTGGCATGGCCCCTTGGATGACCATTGTTGTCACTTCCATGATGATAAGTGTAGTCAATCAACTATTCTTTATATACTCGGGGGGGTCCACTGACCCCTCCCCCAAGATTTCTGGACTCTGGGGCGTTTTCCTGCAAGATGTGCCAACTCATCGCTTTTGCCAACGTGTGTATGTTATTTGGTTGTCCCTGTTTAAGATCGATAATCCGTATTAAGATATCTTTAGTCGATCACCCAGCCTACCCTGGTCTAGGTCTTCAAACCGGAAAAGTTTGTGCCATGGAAGCACGTGCCAGTGTGAGGCTGACAGCCTCGAGCGGCTGGTGCTCAAGTTTCTGGGAAGCGATTCTACGAGTGTATTTGGTGGATGGCCTCCCTTGTTGGCACGCTGACCAGCAGCTGACCCAAATGGTAACCAAATGTGTATGAAAGGAAAAGTTGCAGCAGGTGAAAAGGGGAATAATATGTTTTGTGTCCATCACTGGCGCAGGGCTTCTCTCCTTTTGGCCTTGATCACTGAGACATGAAGGGATTCTAGGCTGGGTGCTGGATTGATTTGGGGATTGCGAAGCTGAGTGGTACGGTCCCTGGTCCTGAAGAATGCACTTCTGACTCGAGGTGTAGACGCTACATAGAGACCAAAGTTACGGTTTGACTGAAAGAACATCCGAGTCAAGTGAGCTTCTCAACGATGACACCGGTCCGTCAGCTCACCTTTTGGCGAAAACAGCTTGATTACTATAAGAAGTCTGCGTTTGTCAGCTTGCACTGGCTTTGTGACGACAATCATGTTCAAATTTGCTTTTCAAAAGCATGCCGCTGCAATAGCATGTTGCAAAAGGCAAAAGACATCAAAAGACTCGCAAAAAAACTCGCAAGGTGCAATGTGTGCGACAGCTATATACATTCCGGCAAGATTGAATCAAGTTTTGACTTGGCAAGGATTTGATGTATACTCCAATTGTTTGCATCCTATGCCCGGAAACCTCAACAACCAGACACATGATTGTTCCAAATATGGCAATTGAAAACGTCCATTTGTTCGTGGTTGTTTGGGTTTCCAGGTTTGATCAGGTTTGCAGATATATGTTTGTTAATAATATGAGGTTTTGCTGGCACAGACCAGGCTTTTCACCCATGTTAATAATGCTTTTAGGGTAGTACGGTGTTTCTCCATGTGGCCATGGCCACCGCTCATTTGGGCGATTCCGTCTTCCTGTTTTGACACCGGACGACAGGGGGGGCTTTGGAAGGAACGGTCATGCCCTGGTGGAGACAGAGTGGTTCATAGTGGTTTGACCGTTTGACCATGGCGTTGAAGAGGTCCACACTTGCTTCCGCAGTTGCCAGATTGGAGATTCTTCTGGCTGGTGATTGTGGGTTGGGCCTGCCCTCTTCTTTTTCAACACCACTTAGGTTGGAGAGCGGTGAGGTTGCACTCAAGGACGAATGTTTTGGCTCCTCCTGCACATTCAGATGGGTTCTGAATACGTACTGTGAGCCTTGACTGCATGAGACTCAGAAAACGGATATCGTTCATGAACCTTTGGCGGATGCATCTTCCTGGCTGGCTCAGCATAGAAATGCTGGCGGCATTGGTGGTTCTTTAGTAGCAGACTGGAACATGCCATGCAAACTATACCATACTCCTCGACCTTCCAACCACCAAGCATGTCTGGTCGTTATGGCTTTGTATATAATATATTTATATATACACACAAGTGTTTGTTGTTGTTTCGTTATGTTTGCATTTTTCTGGTTGCTTGCTGTTTTTGTTGCCTGTGTTCGCTAATTTGCAGACGTTTGCATGGAAAACAGTGTCAATGACCAAGACTACCATAATTTGTTGGCCGTTGGAAGATCCAGGCTTAATTAATTACTTTAACCTGCGCTGTGCTCCAGAATTTGGGAGCTCTTCAGGCTTTGTAGCCAGACTTGGGTTTTGACATGTCCATACTGCAGCGAATCATTCCAGACTGCCTTGGAGTTGGCCGTTGAGATACTGTTCCAATTTCTTTCCATGGAATTGCTGAGCTAGCTGTTGGTCCCTTTACCGGTTGCTGTTCGGAGAGCCTTTCACGGGAGTTCCCCAGAAATCGCGTCGAAATCGACGCCAGTCGACGCGAGTCGTCGAGCCTTTTTGGGATTCCTTAGGCTGCTTTACCGCTACACCTCGCTGCAATCCATAGTGCCCAGTATGTGCTTTGGCGCTACGGCCTTGTGCGGTCCGGAAAGCAGAAGGAGTTGCTGCAGGAGGCGCGATCTGGAGTTGCCCGCCCCCAGGCTCCCACTGTGGGCCAAATCAATCCGTGAGTTTGGAGGCCCAAGAGCATTTTGGGCTTGACCAAGCCGATTGTCGAATGAACACCTGCTTGGCGCCCCCGCTTCGGGCCGACGGCAGGAGTTGGACCAAGCCTTAGCAGCGAAGCATAGCGACATCGCACCTGGGCACGCGACATCGACTGTCTCGCGTCGGTCCGACCGGTTCGGGGAAAGCCTGATGGAGTGGACCCAATCCGTCGAAAGGCCGCACACGACTGGGTCAGTGCCTATACACCCACCACTTGGGAAGACTGAGCCAAAAGTCGGACTACGGAGTTCTATTAGACATATATATGTGGCCATAGTGAAGAACAGCACAGTTTTTTCACGTGAGGGTTGCACCCAAGAGGACGTGACGTAGGGTGATGAGGGCTGCAGATGACGGAACATGTGGAGCTAAAACGTAGGTAGTTACTCGACCTTTCCATGCACCTTGTGTGGGCTCGAGTGGGCGGTATCAATCAGACAATCAACTTCGAAACATGGCAGGGTAATTACACAGTTTGTCTTTCCACTGAATTCATGATCAGTTGTTGAAGGGTCTGGATCAATGCTGGAAGTCAGGTTTGGAAACCTCACCGTTGGATGGACAGAACCCCACATTTGGTGTGGTTGCGTCAAGGGTTTGAACCTATTTTGTCGCCTGCGGACGCTCCCAACACCCTGGATCAGTGCAGGAACCAGTGGTTGAGACAAGCATGAGAGGTGCTGTCCATGAAAGCCGCGGGGCTTCCGGAATTCACTTCCAGCATTGAGTCACTACTTGTTTTCCTATAGCAACAAGGGCATCGCTACTAGTAAAAAGTACAATACTACTACTATAGCTACTAGTAGCAATGCCCACTGGTAGCTTACTACTTGTCTTCATATTGTATTCATTTAGTTTTCCCAACTTGCCCATGTTCACCGCTTGTAATGAGAGCCCGTGGCACGGACCATTCGCAAGCTTTCCCATCGGGGTATCTCCGGGTCTCTCGGCTTCAGCTTCAGAACAAAGGCTATGCCACCAACGGCATGGGTCGCCTCAGAGTCGCCTCAGAGTCGCTTGCTGGGAAGTTCTCCGTCCCTCCCAATCCTCGGACAGTCCGACAACACCTTCGGTCCGCTGCGACGACGGACCCGCCGGTCGCAGCGGTCAGAGATCGATTTAACCAAGGCCATGGATCTTCATCGTCGCTTGGGAGTGAACTGTAGCTGCAGCCAGCTCTATGGCCACTTGTAGCAGCCAGCTCTCGGCTTGGCCTTTTGAGGGACATGCAGTACCTTTTTCTCGGTGTTGCTTGGGTTGGAAGAGATGTTGTACGTATGTTTAGAGAAGCGCCTTGCAAAAGGGATTTTTCCGGTGAGGGTTAAAGATCATCAAAGGACACCTTGGTCGTTGAAAAGTCCCCTTCCTTCAGAGATCTAGGCAACTTGTGGCCACTTCCGTCATGTTAGTTCTGTGTCACCCTCACACACCCGGCCCCTTGGATGCCCTTTGTCCTCTACAAATAGGTGGTGAACTCCACTTCCATGTTCATCAGGAGTGTACCCCTTCCAGATCCACGTGCCCTGAACAAAGAATCACCCACGAACTCAATTTGAAAAGAGAGCCTGGCTTCTGATGGTTCTGCAAGATCGGGCAAGGTGAAAGTTGCGAAAGAGCAAGACCTGCGGGTTATATAAGAAAATTGACAAATCGGGAAAACAAACGCGGGTTTGTTAAGAAAAAACACCTGAAAATGGACCAACCGGGAAAAGAATCAACACGGGGGGTTGCTCGTTTTGGGTTCCAAAGATCCTGTTCAGGGTCCATTGGATCGAAGAGAAAAATCCAACGGAACATTCATGAACATTCTTTTTTGGGTGCCTGAACGAATGCATGGTAATTTGTGGGGTGAACATGTTCACCGGTTCTTGGTCCTCGGATTTCATGGTCCGACATGGGGGCCGTGCCATTAAGTATATAAGCAAGATGATTTCCGGAGAGCGTAGACATTTTTAGATGAACATTGCATAAAAGTGCGCGCTATGGTCTGGAGTTTTAGCATATTTACTTGGTTCGGGTGCGTTGGCCCAGATTGTTGAGCCAAAGTCCAAGCTGTTTATATAGGCACAAGGGCAAAGATCTTCAACTTTAAAAAGGTGAGGAGACATCGGAAAGCAAGGCAATATTGGGGAGAAAGGTGTATCAAGCACGTAGCCGCAGCCAAAGAAAAACATGCCATGTAACATGCAAACATTGTTTTTCCCGCGAACTGTTTTACGTTGTAGCTTCGAGACTCGTGACCAACATGGCAAGTTGATGTCCAGTCCAGGCCAGACTCGACCTTGCACAAGCCCACCACAGACTTCCACCAACTCCACGAGCAACATCGAGCAACTCTGTATTTACAACACATTTCAGAAAAAAAAGAAAGGACACACAAAAAGAAACAAACACATCCGGCCGAGAAAATAGATAACCCCAGCTTTTCTGAGAAGCACGATCGCTGTCTACCTCCTGTCTACCTGCGCCAATGAGCTCATGGGCCGATGGGATGTGGTGCTCCCCTTCGTGGCACCGGGTCGTGGCACCCCTGAGCCTCCTCGCCATCGCACGCCGCTGGGCGGCGGTGGGCCGGAGCCCTCGTCGGACGAGTCGGACGTGGACGATCCGCGCCCTTCGGAGGCGGATGGAGTGTGTTTGCCGGACGTGGAGGAGATTTACGACTGGCTGACGGAGGACTTGGCTGGATTGGAGGAGACGTTGGGCCAAAGGAAGAGGTCTGGAGCTCTAAGTGCAAAAGAGGAGAAGCTGCACCAACTGATCCAAGTTGAACTCAGAGAACGCAGAGGAGTGGAGGAGATTGGCCTAGCATTGTTGGGAGGCCGCTTGAACTTGGATGTGGCTGGATTGGAAAAGAGGCCAGAAGTATCGCCCTTTGGCCAGGAGCAGGATTGGTTGTTGGGCCCAGTGTTCGGACAAGTGGTTCCAAAGACTGACATCGCCGTAGACATAGAAACCCTGGTTCCTTAAGTCTACCAGCCCCTATCTCTGCAAAAATCTGGGCAGGACCGTGGAACATGTAAGCTACATGTTCCCTGAAAGGACCTAATGAAGCTAATGTAGCTGACATGTTCCTTGCTCCTCTCCTCACTAGGCGTAGTGACTGTAGGGACTGTAGGGACCGTAGGGATGTGGTATATGACCGGATCCACTGGGTGGATCAACCAGAAAAAGACGAGACATGGTAAACCGTAAACCCGGGAAAAACACGCTACCTGGTAGGTGAGCATGTCAAGAGCCAGGTTACACGAGAGTCAGCACTGAACAACCACTCCATGTGGCCTGTGCAGGAGCGAGCCAGCTCTACTTCCAGAGCGCCGCTTTTTCAAGGCCCTTCTGCATGTCCAGAGGTTTGGACCTTACCAGAAGCGCCATCTGCAGCCTCATCCCCAGCCTCCTCCAGTTCCACCTTGCCCAGGACTCTCGAGCGCATGGGTTCCATGCCAGCATGATTATCCTCACAGATCGTTATGCACCAACATGCTGCAACCAGACATTGCCGCTTACATGATGTCCTTTTCCAGCTTCAACCATTCAGGATCTTGCAAAAGATCGGCGTTCACAGTGTTTACAGGGATGCTGCATGACTTTTTCTACATCATAAACTCTAAGCTTTTACCCCTGAAAAGCCACCATGCTTCCCGTCATTCCTATTGCATTACTTCTACGTCTCCCCTGCTGGAAATCCTGCCAGGATGCCTTCCCCTTCCCTCGCCCAAAACAGTGGCCACAGACCGCCTGCCGCGGGGCCCGCGCCGGGACAGCGATTTCGACCCACGCCGGTGGACTTCGACTTCGTGATCGGCAACAGCTCGGTGAAGAAGCCGAAACCCAGGCGGAACCGGCCGCAACCGGAAGGAAGCTGGTGTTGTTTATTTTTTCAGCGAGGCTTTGTTGGGATGTTTTACGGAAAAAAGTCTTGGCAAAATGCGGGTGACCTATCTTAGAAGATCTTGGAAGTGGCTGGCTGCCTGGTATCATGTGCTAACCTTTGAAGTCTTTTGGAGCATCTACCTTCATAAGTTGTTCTCCTTCCCTGGGTTGTTGACTAACTCAACCAACTCAGACATGGTCCAATAGACTTCTGAAGCACCTCGATGTACACGGGTTCTTCTGGCGGATCCGCCGTGATCCACCAGTGATATCGCCAACAAAGGTGACCTTCTTAGAAAGGACGATGCCACAGTTTGAGAACATCCAGTCATAACATGTCATAACTCATAACTCATAACCATGTTATACCTTACACCTTCTTAGCAGTGGTGATCTCCCCAAAGCCTTGGTGTTTCAATCATGCTGACTCAGACCACTGCAGGCCACCTAGACCACCCAGACCGCAGAAGCAGGAGTCGCAAGATGCCCGGCCCAAAGCGGGGACAAAGGCGTTTTCCGAGAAGGCGAAGAAGGGCAAAACCAAGGGCGAACGTGGGGAGGTGAAAGAGACGAGAGATGCCAAGAGAGATGCAAAAGGAGCTCAGGCAAATCTGAAGAAGCAAGGGAAGGATTGGAAGGCTTCAGGTCAGAGATTGGAGGAAGATCGGTTGGAGATTCCAGAAGGGTACCCTGACGCTGGGCACGTGCAGAATGATGCCATGCCATGCTTGGAGGATGTGATCGAAGGAGTTCAAGGAGAGGTCCACGATCAACTTGATTCTGGAGTCACCGATGCCAGGATCACAACAGATGCCAGGATCACACATGCTACAGTTGATGGAGAAGGTAGCGGGCATCCTCAAGACGAGGGCCCGCCACCCCTCCCCGACGAAGGCCTCGCTGACGAAGAAGGCTCAGTTCTACCACGTGAATCGATTTGGCCAGAAGCCCTGGACGCCAACGGACTGGCGGCTCCCAACGGTGAACCCAACGCAGAAGACGAAGCGCCACACACACCCTGCCAACTGCTGGATCCCACCGCCCATTTGACAGATCCGACGAGCCCCGCAGGGTCTTCCGCCGACCCCCCGGAAGCGCCCGCGCCGGGGACGCAGCTCAGTGAGGAGTCGGAGGAGGGCCTTGAGTTGGAGTTTGGTGGAGAGAATCTTGAGTTGGACTCTGGTGGAGAGAATCCAATGAATCCAGACGAGAGTGGACCAGATACAGGCGAGACTGCGGGGTGTGGGGGTGTGGGGTCACCGTTCTTCAGCTGTTAAGTCCTAACCTTTGCGACCAGTCATTGCACTGAGTCAAGTGCCAAGGGCATGTCGCTGATAGAAGAACGAGGAAAGCTTTGCTTCATGGCTGCCTTTGTTCATTCCTCCCAGATCCGTACAACAAGGGGATGCGATTTCAATCGATTTCACCTCACAAAATGATACAAGACGACCAATGGACCATGACGGTCCGGAGCAGAAACCATGTTTACAGTCCCAAGAACCTGAGCAGTTGGTCAATCCAAAGGCTCTTTAAGGGTCGATGGTGACTGACAAACGATGACCGAACCCCCCCACCCACTGCAGAAACAAAGAAGGTAGAAAAGGATGGAAATAGGCTAACATGGGTAAACCTTTATGTTCCAGGGAAACAGGGCATCAGCCAGTCCCACCACTCTCTTAAAAAAACAATCATAGACAAATGGTTCCATGTTTTCAGACCGCGTTACGCAGGCGACATGGATAACTCATTATGTCATTTCTGCATGCACCTGCAGTCTGTCCGAAAAATGGACACCCAGACACCCAAGAAGGAACAGTCCACTGAAGCATCATCCCAAAAAAAATTCCTCCAACGACTCATCCTCAGGCCGTGCTGATCCCAACGACTCCCCGTCGATGCTCCTTGACCGAATGGAATCTGGCGCGGTCTGTCCTCCTGCGATCTCGGCGTCCGGTCTTGACCTCCCGGTGGAAGAGACGGCACAGCGTGAGACAGGTGAGGGCAAACGGTGTTATCGATCATATAAGTATATTAGTATATAGTCCATTCCATTCACCAGGTGTTCTTTGAGCCCTATAAGAATATAGAAGCGAGTTTTGAAAGGGAACGATTACACCTGGAAATGGATAGTGATGATAGAGATGTTTGCAAGTAAGACTTACTAAGAATGGGTAGATCATGGTAGATCATTGTGTTGTTCAAGTGACAGAGGTTGGTTTCCCCATGTTTTCCCTGTGACTTTTTGGATAATTAGAACTTTGGACTATGCTGCAAGTCCTCAGGGAGCGATCTTCAGCCAAAACACGACTG